CGTTCCAATCCCGTTCTCGTTTGCTTTTTTCCTTTACTGGGAGGGCACATAGCGTTAAGTTTTTTACTTCACTTCCTACGACTTGAGACGCAACTTCTACACTGCTTCCTTCCGTCATTTTTTTAAGTAGGTGGAACGACAAGCCTGGCGGTCGGAATCAACTATATAAACGTTCAATGACTTAGAGCAAAGTAAATGTAGCACATAAGAGTGAGAAACGACAAAAAATATGAAAGCGGAGAAAATAGGTCCATATTTTCATCTAGCGAAAGCTCAGAGTGGACAGTTCCCTGAAGCGAAGTCTTTGGCCAATCAAGCAAATTTTCCGGCAGTTAAATAAGAAGTTGATCGTAATGGATCCTCCATTGGCTCGTTTTCCACGTCAATGGATTTGAAGCTACCTGTACTCTTTGACCCTTTGATACATTCTATTCTTCGTTCTTTGACCCTTTGATACTGTTGGTACGTTTCGGGACAGGAAACGAAAGTACTACGGTTTGGGGAGCCAGATATTGCCCCCTACAAGTTAGACTGATGGGCTCATCTGCTTTCCTGAACTGGTTGAAATATTTAATACCATTAGGCAAAGGATTTCTTAGATTTTTCCGTCTCTTCTTTTTCAAATGAACTGCAAACGCCAAAATGTCAACTAAGTAAACGTCTTGGCAATCTCGGCTGCAAGCCAACTACTGCTCAAACATTAGTCGAGAAGCTTATGTTGGTACTGATCAATAAATAGGTCGTGCCTTTGTGGGGGAGGAGAAATGGACATAGAGACTTCATTGGAGCTTTGAGAGACAAAATCTGAAAAGTTATGTTACCCCTGGAAGGGAGACCGACCACGAGCATCGATTCTTCAATGTACTGGCATCTTCTATAATCTGATCAGGTTTACGGTGGATCCATCTTTGACGTCCAGATCATAGTCTTTGAAAGGTCAACATTTAGGTCTATTTAATCACTCTCACCTTACCTTGTAAGTATCTAGAACCGTACTTTTCGCATCTCCTGTGACAGCAGTCAACGTAATCTTGCTGGAATATTCCCCGAAGCGTGCAGCTTAACTCTAAGGGCAGAAGGATACCTATCCGTCTAGCAGACGTATATTCTGAAGGCTTAATCAGTGCGTATGAGCTGTAGAAGATTCGATGTCCATTAACTGATTGCTTGACGCTGGCTAATCCTCTCTAAGGTACAGCTAATACCTCTTGTGACGCTAGTGCTTACAATGCCGATTTTGTATAAATTGGCGAATCGAGGCGACCAGTTCCATCAACTCACCGAAAAATGGTACATTATCGGAGCATCCTGTTTCTACTGTGCTTACTAGCATACCTTCAAGCTATCAAGGTAAGCGCTTCATACGCCGACAAACGCTTCTTTGCTTAATATTCAGGGAGACTTTCTCCCGTCCTTTGAAAAGATAACTCTTTTTCACACCAAATGATAACTCTTCTCTTTCTGAAAATTTTTTCAAGGGTGGCTTGCAATAAAACGCATAAAGCAGCATTTTCGAGGGCGCCGTGCATTTAATTTCCTTTCGGATTCGTGAACTGCATGAGATGTGAATTTGCTACAATCGGTGTTTAAGAAACTAACTTTTTAGTAATCTGGCCCCTCTTTGCAAGGTTCACTATTAACATTTTCTTTCCATAGCTGGGACAACCAAACTATACTATGCTATCCTATATTGTGCCTAAACTTCGTTAATTTTCCCTATTACATTAACTAGTTACATTAACATCAGTTACACATCAACCTATTAGGACCGGTATATTTTCAATATATAATACCACGCTATTTCCATACACGATAAAACTTCTTTATATTGTACAATATTATTTCGCACAATAGAATTTTCTCTGCATTTTATTCCCTTGCAAACCGCTGATCTTCTGTGTGCTTTTAGGTTCGTGTCGGACATATTGGAGCAAAGGGTTATATGAAGAAATGGCGAGAAAATTCTTGAGCTATCCAGAAAACAATTGTGGAAGGACGGCATACTGGATGAGGACTTCGATCTTGAGTGAGTGCTTCTTCCCCATTTAGCTGTTTCTGCGTGGGAATTCTAATCGAAACTAACCTCCCATGTTGTGGATTCACCACAGCTTTAAGCTGCTTCTGAGGCATTGAGCAGATCAGACCTCACGATATCACACTTATTCTGAGTACCAAATCCCTATTTCTACCGACAATCTTACTGAGGGGGAAATTCATTCGATCAGTTTTTGGATAGTGCGTTGAGTGATGCTGGTCGCTTGCAACTCTTGAAATATTCCAAGAAAGGCTCATGGCGGAAGAAGTCACCCTTCATTCTTCTCAGCAATCACTTTGTGCTGCTGTTCGGGGCGACCTTGGGCAGCCGAAGTGCTCAAATCATATCGGCGAAGGGCTTGACTGGGTAACAACGCCCGGGATCTGCGAGAGGGGCATCACCTGTAAGACAAACAACATCCCTATCACTTCAACCACTCTAGAACACTCAGATGCCATATCCGCGCTTGGCTAGTACAAAATCCTTAGGATTTGGATTTCACCAGACTTATATCCTCAAGAATGCCTGTTTTAGCATTATCAATCAAATGGGCTGCGGTGAAGCGTTCGAAGGTGTTGCCGTCGGCGCGGACATGTACCACGTGCAAAAAGTTCGCGCCTTCATTGGTCCCTACTGTAATGCTGGTGAGTTCATCTGTTAAATAGGTCTTCTTTGTCTTCCTATTGCCAAACCTTGTTCTGAGCTGGCCGAGCAAGTCAGTTCTTTCAGCCCTTCATTTACTCTCTGTACTCAAATAACTGGTGCAAGATGATTGGTATCGATTCGCTACGAGGTGCTACGTGGTACCGATGGCATCTACCTTCTACCCGAGTTTACCTTAACCGTCTGACTTAAGCGTTTTTCTTCCAGAGTTGGACGCGGTAGCTAAAATGGCAACCTTTTGGAACATTCCTGTTGTTGGTTACATGGCCTCTTCGAACGCATTTGCCGACAAATCCATCTATAGGACCCTGGCTCGTGTTTCACTGAGGACAACGAACTCTTTGGCTGAAGCTGTCGCTGCTATTCTCAATCATTACAACTGGACAAAGGGTAACTATCGATTACATAACCATATCTTATTGAAATTATTATTCGATATTTCATGAGGGCAAGTCACAGATCTTCTTGTTCAGGTTGGTGTCGCAACAAACACTGGTGTGGTGGCATTCGAACGATTTACGGCCTTCGAAGAGGTTTTCAACAAGAGAAAGATCGAGATAACAAAGAAGGTAAGTTTCCACCGAGTTGCAGCCGAGATTCGAGAGGGCAGTTGATCACTGGGAGAGCACGTGTCTGTTTTGGGCGGGGCTACTATATCAGGACGGGCTCTTCCATGTCGGGGGACCATATTTCGAAGTCCTTCTATGATAAATATAACTGAAAGAAGTTGTGAAGCAGGTAATTTTGTCTACTTTACAGGTGATGTTCGATGAGAATGCGGATGCCAAAGCCATGGAGCAAAGTGGTCTGCTGGAAGAACTGTCGAACAACGCTAGAGGTGAGATACCTGCTAATCTCTACTTTTCGATACAAAGCTCCTGTCACAACGGGTCAATGTTTGGCTTCCTAGTATGGTCAGATGTTTGGCTTCCTATTATATTACTACCATTTTCTTTCTCTTCGCAGCATATGCAAGATGATTTTTGGCCACACCCACTTTGTTACGAGTAGAGCATTTCCGTAATCGATACCGATGAACATCGGCAGCTCTCGCAGGTCAAACTGATGAATGATTCCCGCTATTTCTTTGCAATTTCATCTTCCGTCCGAGAAGCCGTAAGACTTGCAAAGATGGGGGTCAAAAGTGGCAGACTCATAACCCGGCTAGTAAACCGTTTACGAGGACCTTCCAATGCTTTCTT